TTTAACTGTGACATTACCATTTCCCCTCCACTTGAAAACCATGGATTCAAATGTCCCAGGGTATGAGGAGGGCAATGTTCAAAGCCAGGGGAAAGTGAAAGTGAGCAATGGAAGCCAGAGGTTTCCATTGGGCTCAGATAAAGCTCCCTCCCAACTCAACAGAGGAAACACAATGACCCATAAAAGTATTTGCCATTATATATATGTTTATTTTTTCCTTTTGTTATTTACAAACTTTTTTTCAGCATAATTTTCAGAAGCATAACTTTATGTTTCTTCATATTTTCCTTTTTTGAATTCAGAACTGGTCAAGTCTTTTTCATGCAAGAATTTACATTTAATAAGGACAAAGAGCACCAGGTTATCTTGTGGGGTCTCTTCTGCTCTACATCCTTTTGTGGGTCAGGCCATCCAAGGCACAGGGGTCTTGATCATCCTTTCTTGGTTTTTACTGCCTGGGCCCAGCACCTTTCCTGAAGACATACACGTGTATATGTATAGTTTTACTTTATTTCATCTGCCTCCAGAATGACACTGCCTTGGCTTCTGAAGAATTCCCTGGCACTGTGGTCAGTTGCACTACACCTGGGCACTTTCAGTCTTGCTGATGACTACTGAACCCGGGGACAAAATCTGGCAAGACAGTGGGTGCAAAGTCTCACACATGTTGAGTCGGCAAAGGTGACCCTGACCAACTGGGACTATTTCATAATTGAAGTATATGAGGGACACACTGTAACACCTTCCCCCCTCTCTACCCTGAAAACTCAACACTGATAATAAAGATTTCATGTTGATCACAGGACACTATACAACAAGCACAAATACACTGCACTTTGTAGGACAAGTCACAATTTCTTCTGATGCTCAGCACCACAGTAGGGTACCATGCAGGTGGATAAATTAGCAAATTAATTCATTAGTTATAGCTCAGAGGGTTAACTCTTTTGTGTACAGAATAAGGAATAATCACAGTCTCAGCAAAACACAGCTCTAAACATGCAAAGACCTTGCAGCCTTGCTCTTAACAAGATGACATGGATTGTAAGAATACATTTGACAAGCTGTGGTAAGACTCAACAGTTCCTCTGTTGTCTTTGCAAAGGCACCTCACAGTGGCAGATGGAATGGGCAAGAACCTGGCAGGAAACATGTCCCACATCCCCACAAAAAATGACACTTTGGAGAGACAGAGGATGTCTTTCCCATGGTAGTGGCAGAGAGGAGATTCTAGGGGGAAAGTTAATATGATAGCCCATGTGAGGAAAAGAAAGGGAAGATGGGTAGAGGATTAAGTGGGGGTTGCTCCATCTCAGACTCAGCAGCTCCCTTCCCTCTGCCCAAGCTCCAAATTATCTATCACCCCAAGTATTCTCTGGCTGGGGCTGAGAAAGGCTCCATGGGCTGAACTCCAGGGGTGCCCTGATAGATGCTCTGCAGTCCCAGAGTTACTTAGTGTGAGGTGCAGAGTGGGAGGGGATATAGGCAGCCAGTTGGAGAAGAGAATGCCTGCACCAATGGGGACAGCTGAGGATGGGTTCAAGGATGATGTTGAAGACAGAACACACATAGAACATGACAAGGGGTGATCTGGCAATTTTCACGCTAAAATGTCCAAGTCCATGGCAAACTCACAAGGTTCAAGTTTCTGAAAAGGTGTCAATACCAGACCTCCACCTCACCTTGACACTTAACCTCACACAGTGTGAGTTGCAGTACATTTTAACACATTGCAGCACATTAGGGCAAGATATTCTTTTTAAGGTATACTATTATATCTAGCTACATGGACCTATAGAGATATTTACAACCGGCCTCTCTACCCTTCTTCTGTGCTGTGAAGTCTTCCTGTGCATTGCTGCCAGACACACTGATCCCCACTGATCTAGACTTTTTCACCAGTATGACCTCACCCTAAATGAAATGCTTGGCTCCCACAGGGCTAGAAGTCCCTCCAGGGTACTGGAAACCCAAATCCAAACCAACCAACCAATGTTTAAGCCTTTCTGTAGCCATAGTGGGAGCTTCACACGTGGGGTCATTGCTGTCCCTCCAACCTGGATCTTTCTGTGAGGAGTGTCCAAAAAGAAAGAAGCAATCTTAGACATTCCAGTGGCAACTTTCTTGTTTTTATCTGTCTTACAAGATTTGTGTGTGTGTGTGTGTGTGTGAGCATATGACTGTAAACACATGTGATTGTGCTTGTGAACATAAGTGTGGCTGTATGTGTTTGTGCATGCTTGTGTGTGTGTATGTATATACTGCTGAGGGTGACTGCCCAACGTGTGTATCCACGTATGTGTGACTATAGAGGTCTCTGTGGGTGTGTATGTGTAAGAGGCTATATTTATATGCTGCATGTATAGAAAAGGAGATGTGACAAACTGGGCTGATCTAGGCAATGAGTCCCTGGGATTCTTTGTACTTATCTCCTTGGTCAGCCCTCTCACCCCTCTAACTATCTCTTTCCCTGGAAGAGGTGGAAAGAGAGAGTTCTAAATCCAAAGATGAAGTTCAGCCAGCAACAATCCCAGGGTGGCTACTAAAACGCCCCTGCCCCTGAATGAGCCCAGCAGCACAGTCCATGCCTGCTGCCATCTCTGGGCACTTTTGGTTCTCTGCATCCAGCTGCTAACAGTCAATTCCCTGGGTCATTTCCTCACATCACCCACCTGCTTCTTGGGGTTGCCTCTAAGGTCAGGCTTACAAGGTGATTGGAATAAAGGGATGAGTTTTAAAGGCTATATACAACCATCTCTCCAGTTCTTTAGCTCTTTATATTATATCTCTGTCCTCAATGCATCTTCAAGGCATTCCAAACACGTCCTTCCAGGACAAAGCAAAATGCTCTGCACTCCCAGCTTATCCCACGATTGAGCACTTCCTACCTCAAGACACTAAATTATCACTTCCTAGGACTCTAGGACTACATTCACTTCTTCTGTGTCTTCTATCCAGGAGATAGCACAGATGGGTAGAGGGAGAATGAGAGGAGTGGGTGGAGACTGGGAGATGCTGCTCCCTGAAACAAGAATTGGAAAGTCAGTTAATTAGCCTGGCTAAATAGACACCTCTCCCCTTATGTGGGAACAGGCCAAGGGAATTCTGTCAGTTCTAGAAGAGTCACCAACAAGAAATACATATATTTTCAGGTGTATTTCCTTTCACACTCATTCAAATTAGATAAATAAACACAGATATACACACATGCACTTAAACATACACACAGATTACACCCATGTGTGTACACACAAGTACACACATACATAAGTCACATGTTTGCACACTCTTTCATAAGGGTGAACACACATATATGCATCCACACATTCTTATATATACATTGTTATACACACCAATAGAGATTTACACTGATATACATATAGCTATACAGCTTCTCAAATAGTTGTATATGCACAGAGGACTACCTTGATGCACACACACACCTTGGTATACACAGAAACAAACACAGAAACACAGTTAAAAGGGGAGGTGGATGAAGTGTTGCAAGGAAGGCTGCCTAGAAAGGAAGGAGGCTGAGTGCTTGGCAAATCTTGTTCTCCCATGGCCTCCATCAATGAGGTGAAGTTACTTTGCAAGTTGAAGCACTAGCTAATTTCTACTTCCTTTAGAAGCCCCAGTGGGTGGGCAGCGCCCATATTCCATAAGTTCAGTTCACACTGGTCAAGGGCCTCTTCCTGAAGAAATGCTCCAGGTGCTATAGAATGATGTCTGGTGCCTGGCAGAACCTGATGGAGCACCCTCTTTTGTAAAGTGGAAGGGAGAAAAAGGGAGTGCCTCAGTTAAGTTAAAAGGACAAGAAGAAGGAAGACCAAATGGGGTGGCTTTACCACTCACTGGGTGCATGTCCTCAAGATCTGTTTTTTCTCTTAGGAACACTGGGATATTATGTTTTGCCTTCCCTGGCTCACAGGGTTCCTGTGAGGGTCTGACGATGTGATGGGTCAGTGAGCTCACTGACACTGCACTGGATAAATAGGAAGGTTTAGTAAAGAGATTCACAACAGTTCATCTGCTATTCTAGATCAGATGGTGAAGTAGCAAGTCAGAACTTTTCTAACCCTAGTCTTCATTCACCAAGTGCTTGTTCTATGACTAGTGTTCAACTTAGCATCTGATCTAGACACATGTACTAAGTTCTTATTGTCAAGCATTCTGAAGCAGAAATATAAACAAGGTAAGTTCCAATCCTTCCAAAGATGCTAGTTCAATTTGGGTAATCTCCAACTTGACATCACTCAGCCTCCTGAGAGCTCCTGCTGGAAACATGCCCTCTCACTTACCCTGACATCTCACTCAACACCCATAACTACCCACCTACATTCCACTCCCAACCCTGTGCTACTACAACACACTCAAAATACAACAGAAAAATAGTGTGGAAAAGGCACTTTCAAAATGCAACAATTTCCCTAGAGCTAGTCCCCTGCACTTCAAAGCCATGGCTAGCCCTTCCCCTGTGCACCCTAGCCCAACCCAGCTTGACTTTCTCCCATAAAACCCTAAGTAGTAGCTCAGCAAGCACCATAATCCCTAGGAGGTAAAAGCAGAAGAAAAAAAAGTAGTGAAAAAGAAAATGCAACATTTCAGGGGGATAGAAATCCCCAGAAATGTTTGTGCACAGGGCTCAGCTCCGTCCTCTGTCCCTCAACCTGTCTCCTCTCTGTCCTCTCAACACTTCCAGGGGCTTTTCTGTGCTTATTAGATGTTAGAAGTATTTGAAAAGGTAACAGTCTTCTAGTATAAAAAGGAAAATCAATTAGCTATTTACCTCCAACTTCTTCTCAATAGCTTTCCTTCCAGCCAGAACACATTCTTTCCAACTACTCCCCAGCTCATGTTTATAAAGTGAAAGGTAGAACTAATTTGACTACCCAAATGACCAAAAATAAAATGAACAAAGAAAAAAGGCAAAATGGAACCAAAAGAAACTGTGGAGGGAGCACAGCACAGTGCCCCTGCTGTTCTGGGGCACTATGGGGCTAAAAGCCATTGTATGGCCAGTAAATAATGTTGAACACCACAAAGGCAAGAGGGAAGAGGATCCGGGACCACTTATCAACCTTAGGGACATAGTCAGGGTCAAAGAGCTCGTAACAAAACCTTTCCCTGAAAGAGTACCCAGGGTTTGGGGGGCAACTATCATCAGATTCTGAATTACTGTCCTCGTCTTGATCAAAGCCCATGAAACTGTCACCATTATGGCTCCAGATAGTGTGACTATCATGCTGAAGTTGCTTCTTAAGGTCGAGGTAACCGCGATCAACTTTGATGTCACCAGGCAAGCTAAGGAACACTTCACAGCGTATATGGATGATATCAGGCCTGCAGCTTTCTTCTTGCACACACTTCTGGCCACGGATGAGCAGACACTTTCTATTGGGGCCATGACCATGGTTGTTATCCAAGCTGTAGCTCTCTTCAGGGTCTTCTGGGTCATGTATCTCAGCATGGCCATGGGCTTCACCATGATTGTGGATTTTGGTAGGAATAACACTGCCATCAATCTCAAAACCATTAAAATGAATGTCATAGCTGTGCAGGGCTTGCTCTGAGGTGGAGGAGAGATCACTCAGGCTTTCTCCTGTGGCCAGCCAGGACTGGACTGAGAGAGAAGACAGTGAGCTAAGGCTTTCTGAGGTGGCCAGTGGGACCTGCTCTGAGATGAAGGTCAAAGAGTTGAGGCTTTCTGGGATAGATGAGTGGGCCTGCACTGGTCTAAAGGGAGGAGAGCCACTTTCATTTTTGATGTTAACTTGGTTATCCTTTGAAGAAACAGCCGATAAACTTATGAAGTCAGTAGATTCAAATCCTACATGAATAAGCACTTTCGGAAAAGGAGCAGGAAGGGGTCCTTCTTCATCAGCACTTGTAAAGTGATTGTTGATCTCTTTGACTGACAGAATCTCCTCTTCCTGGGTTCTTTGGTATGCCTGGGGCTGAGGAACAGGACCAAGAGGCTGTTAGCATATTAGAGAAGTCTGGGGTGGCTGCCAAACCTGTGTTACCTTGGGGCAGCAGCTCCATCTGGAGTGTTGTGTGGTGGACAGAGGCAAGGCTTCCTCAGATAGGCAGGATTGGGCTCCCTGTGAAGGAGGGGCTGGTGCTGGACATTAATATACCACCAGAAACAAAAGCCTCAGCATGGCTTTGGGAGTAAGAAGAGCAAAGGAAGGAGGGGTAGGCCAGCCTCTCTGGGTGTCTGTTTCTTCCTTTCAGCCTCCCTGTGCTCCCTTTCATTCTGGCTCCATCACTTGCCCTTGGAAGCATGCTAAGTGGACTGGATTCGAAGATCAAAGGTCTGGGGAAATCTAGCTCTGCTACTGTGACTTTGGACAATGACTCAACCTATAGAGGAGTGATGATAAACTTTTCTACTTTGTGTGTGTATGTATGTGTGTGTGTGTGTGTGTGTGTATGTTAAAGGAATTACTAAGAAATGTGAAAGGGTCGAGTGCTAAGCTTAGGCTAAAGAGGTACTCAGAGACAATTGATTATCAGTCAAAATGTCAAACCTGCAACCTTGATTCCTGGTAGTGATAGTGGCCTACGATTCTTTGGGCTCTCCCACGTTGCCTATAATGGTAGTGAGTTCCCACTCGGCTGTAGAAAAGATAGTTGACGTACACATATTCCAGCAAGGACAGAAACACGAAGAAAAAGCATACAACCGTATAAATGTCAATGGCCTTGATACAAGAAAATTCGGGGAGGTTTTCCCGCAGGTGTGAATTGAGGGCGTTCAGGATGAGCATTTCAGTCAGACCTATAAACAACATGGGGTGGCTGAAGTTCTTGGTAAGCTGTTGGGCTCACATAGTACAGGAAGGGAGCAAAGACCATCTCTGGGGTGGGGAGGGTCCTCAACAAAATAGACCTTCAGCTCTCCAGGCCTGGAACCTTTGTTCTTTGCCCCTCCTCTCTCATCTTTACACCAAACCTGTGCTTCAATAGTTCAGTGACTTCCCGTTGCTCTTAGGATCAAGTTAAAAATCTCCAGCTATGGTTTCACAGTAATTTATATCTCCAGCCCCATTTTACCCTATGGCCGTCCTTTCTCCTTTTGCCTTCTAAAGTCCTTAGGCTATTCTTTAGTTCCTTAATACTAAATGAGACCACATCCCTAGAAGGTTTTGTGAGCCCTAAAATATTACAGAAATATAAAGTTTTAGTGCAGCATGTACTCTTAAAGAAGGAGGTTGAGGAGTCTGCCTCAAAGATGGTGAAGGAGAAACCAGACCTGGATCTGAGACACACTGCATTCTTCAGGGAGAGGCCAGATAAACCTAGGAGCTGATTTCTTAGGCTCCTCTTTGGTACTGCTCAAAAACCTTTGATGCTCCCATTGCTTAGGCAGAAATTCCAACTGCTTAAACTAGATTTTTTAAAAAATATGTATCTTTATTGATTTCAGAGAGAGGAAGGGAGAGGGAGAGAGAGATAGAAACATCAATAATGAGAGAGTCATTGATTGGCTGCCTCCTGCACGCCCCCGACTGGGGATCGAGCCCGCAACCTGGGCATGTGCCCTGACCAGGAATTGAACTCCGACCGCCTGGATCCTAGGTCGATGCTCAACTGCTGAGCCATGCATGGCCAGGCTAAACTAGATTTTTAAGGTCTTCCCAAATCATGCCAAGCTTTCTTTCTGCTACTCTTTCCACTTCAGCTCCTGCCCCAAACACTACATGATTTTGCCCCCTTTTAGGGCCCTTGTGCCTTTAATCAAGCTATTTTCTTTTAGGGAATGCCAAGTCTTGTATCTCTGCCTCCTACAAGTCTTGAAAACCCAGTTTGTGCAACACTTTCTTGGTGCAGTTTTAGCCAAAAGACCTGGGTCATTTCCTCCTCTGGACTCCAGTGGCATCTGTCTCAGCATTCCACTAAATACTCATTGAAGGCAGCTCCTCTGGAAGCCCTCTGCTATCTAGCAGGGCATTTAGATATGTTACTTAATCAATGTTTGTTGTATTGCATTTATGATCTGTATTTATGACTTGTCCATTCATTTATGTATCCAGAAAATAAATAATGAATTCTAACATACGAAGATCCCAACCCTGATTTTTTTCACACCTGTTTCCGACGTTGGTCTCTCGGCTGGGGATTGGCTGACTACCTGTACAAGTGCCTGTTGGGTAGGACCCATCTTTTTTCCTTGCCTGTGCAGTCACACACTGTTCCTAATACTCTTCCCTTACTCTCAACTTTTTTTTTGAGTGAGATGACTCAAGTTCGTCTCTGGGATTGGGGAGAGGGAGTGAGGACAAGACCTACCGACTGTCACCCTGGTTACAGAAGATTCATAGTTCATCCAAAACGTTATCCAAGAGGCAATAGTGGTGAGGATAGTAGGCCAATAAATCTGCACAAGGTAGTTTATAATTTTCCTCTGGATCAAGAATCTCAGTATAAGTCGCACATAGGAACCTGGCAAGAAGACATACTGGTATCAGGGTGGCAGGGCTAAGGGGATTTTCAGGGTGAAGTATAGGACAGAGGAAGGGAAATCAATAGGCAGTTCAACCTCTAATACTCCATCCTTGGAAGTCTGCTGAACTGACCACATTTGATGCCTTAAGGCCAGTGACAATGGCATGAGTCAGTAGGTCCATATAGCATAGCAAATGTGTTTTCTCCTCCTTCCTTCCTTGCTCCATGTCAACTGACATTTTAAAATGGGAGAGACATGACATGTTTTAAAGCTGTGAACAGATAGAGGGTGAGAGGCTGGCCCTGAGAAAGGCCTATTTTTATTAACAAGAGCATGAATCCTTTTTACTTGTGGAGTGTTAAACATGGCCAAATACTTCCACACCCATTTTCTTATTTGCAGAGAGTAAGTCACTGGGATTTTATGAAGGGTGTTTTGGAAGGTTCCAGAGCCAGAAGGAAATAGTAAAAGAGGCAGTGTAGAGTGTAGAGGTCTAAGGTAGAGGTCCCCAGAAGTTTACCAGGATACAAAAGAGACGAGAGACAAGAGACAAGGAAGGGGTCAGACCCACCTGTGTAGAAAATCTCCTCTTTGTTAGTCATTATCTTTCCCAAAAGGGTGAACTGAGGGATGTGTAGCTTCTCAGTCCCCTGGATGGCATTCTTATCACCTTCCCAGTATAAAATGTTGTCTTCAACCGTGTAGCCATCTGGGAAGTAGAGAGAAACAGAGTCAATCAGTCTCAGAAAGCAGGCATAGGCAGATTTCACACCAGCACAGTCTGTGGAATCCAAAGGATGGTTGGAACTTGCACTTTTGGGAGTTCTTTTGTGTTTTGTTGAGTCTGACTATGGGGAAAGGGGGTACTTGGAAAGAAAACCCTCAGTTTGGAGTTTGTTTTAGCAAGGAAGGAAAGTACAGCAAAGATATGTGCTCCTACCCACTAGCTTGTGAACAATTTCCCAGTAGTAGGGTACAATTTCCCCATGGGACTATTTACACCCTAAAGACCACCTTCTCCCAGATGCCATGTATATATTTCCACTTGTCTATCTATGAGAAGAGAGACGGGGAGGGAGGGAGTAGGGAAGATATGCAGTCCCTCTCACTACCAAGTCTGTCTTTGGTTTACTGATGGCCACAACCACAGGCAGGAAAGAAGGAGCCATGGGAGGCAGACGTACAACTTTCCACCTCCAGCTTGCAGGTCTGCTTGTCCATAGGGTATTTCTGTAGATTCATAGAGCAAGCTGCTGTGGTGATGAGTCTGCAAAGGAAAAGCAAAAGGAAGGAAAAAGTGAGTCTAGCCCAGGCAAGCAACCATTCCTGAGAACATTGCAGGGGTGGGGAAGGAGAGGTATCCCAAGGACTGGCCGACCAACATCTTTCTGAACTGCCTGCGCTAAAGCTGGGTCCTCCTTCCCTCCCTCCCTCTCTACTTTTTTAATTCCTTCCTTCCCACAGGAAAGATGAATTGTAATTATGTAGGGAGGTGAGAGGGAAATTGTGTGTGGCAAAGAAACCAAGAGATCTGGCAGAACTTGAAAAAAACACACGTGTGGCATGTCAGAACACCTTGGGGTGACAGAATGAGAAAGGCCCTTGAGGAAACCTAATGCAAAGACAGAAAAAGGACTTTCTTTCTGAAGAAGTAGAAAGACTGTCAAGAGGAAGCTGTGCTGCATTGAAGCAGCTAGAGCTCCACATCTGCTGTGCAGTGTTCATGTGAAGTCTTCAGGTATGGATGTGAGCAGTGTCTCAGGCTCATCTTTGGCCATGGAAGCTGCTCCCACCCCACGGTGATGTCATCTCTGTGTATCTGCCTATGAGGGTACTGTGAACTTGCAAAATGCCAGAGGGTATCAATGGATAGGAGGCATTAACATATCTGAGATGGGCCATGAAATGTTGGGCAGAGTCTTCAAGTTGCCACATGTTGGGTCCATGAGAGTAATCTGAAGAGGGGTCTTGGAGAAACTGGGGAAATGGGAGAAGTGACCAGTGCAAACAGGATAGTTTTTAAAGCTCTGCCCCAGCCCTTATCCTACCATTCCCAGCTGCTAACCCCAGCCTAGTCCCTTTCAACCCTTGAAGTAATTTCCATTTTGCACAGTGGGTAGGTTGTGTGTGTGTCCCTTATGTGACTCCATGCAGCACTAATCAGCTGAGGTCCCCTTTAAATGAAACAAGTGTGATCAGTATCCTGCTCCTACAGGCTTTATTGTTCTCTGACTCCAGCACCTTGGTCCATGGGAAAGTGGATGGGCAAAGAAGAGGGAAACAAGAGACAGAGCAGGAACACCTTAGAGAAAGAGGGACCCAGAGATAGAGCTGAACCCTGGCAGCTACCTCTTGGAGAAATTTTCTGAACTAAATTTTTCTCTCACACTTGTCTTAAGAGATGGTTTGTAAGAGATGACACTGTGAGGAGAGCTTTGGTGGTTGTCTGCAATGCTATAAATAGACTAGTGAGGATTTCCAGCACGTACGCATTCTGTGTGTGCAGAGCCATAGGCAACATACCCACACTGCACACATCTGGGCCTCTACATGACACAAATATGACCAATGGCAGAGTTCGGGCCCCCTCCCTTACTGCATGGACTTCAGTATTTATCTGTCTCCTTCCCTCACTGCATGGGAGAAAAAAAACAAAGAGATAAATAACAGAATGTATACAATGCTAAGTCAGAAGGAAAGCTCTTCCAGCTGAGAGAATCAAGGAGGACTTCTTGACAAAGAAGGCATTTGAGTTAACGACCGAATGATGGCCAAGATTTGGAAAGGGTCACTCCAGACAGAAACAAGAACAGAAGCCAAGGTTTGGGGACAGGACAGGTAAAGCTGTCTGTGGAAAACTGGGTAGGATGAGTGAGGTGGCAGTATAAGACAGGTTTGAAAGGCAATGGGATTCTCCATGTGTCCCTTAGAGTTTGTTTGTGGGATACTCAGTGGGAAGAACAAAGCCTGCCAGGAGGCTCCCCAGACCCCTGGGGAACTCACTGGATGCCATCCTGCACCGTTCCATCTGGGTGAAGCTGAAACATAAGATTTTTCACAGTCATGTCATGCACGAAGCCATCCTTGCTATTTAGAAAGTAGAAGTCAGGGACCCACAACTTCTCAACCATGCGATAGTCCAGAGTCAGATTCAGGTGGGTCTCACAGTATGCTAAACATGGATCTTTCCAAGTTTGATGAAAAAACATTGTGACAGTACAGTCCTGGAGAGAGAAAGGTAAATCCCAATTGTAAGCAAGGTTATCCAGCTCTTTCTTCTCAGAGAGTGTGTGTATGTATGCATGTGTAAGAATACATTATAACTATAGATGAGTAATGAAAAAAGAATGTTAAATGTTAAGAATAATAAAATGAACCCCGAGTAATTAAAATCCAGGTTAAGAAATAGAACATTACCAATAACTTTCAAGCTTCAATGTATCTCTTCCAGAACATATTTCCCACCCCTCCCAGAAGTAACCATTTAAATCTTAGATTTAAATGACAATAATTCCCTTGCTTTATGTTAGAGTTTTAACATCTATGTATGTATTTCTAGGGAACATGTTGCTTAGTTGGGCTTATTTTAAGATATTTTTCCAAATGGAATCATACTGTATGTATTCATAATTTTCTTCTTTCACTCAGCATTATATTTGCAATATTCATTCAAGTTGACATGCTTAATTAAAGTTTGTTCACTTGCATTGCTTGAATATTGGATAATATTTTCTTATATGAATATACTATGTATATTATTGTGTGAACACACCATTCATACCACAAAATCACAATGAAATAAGAACTATGAAGTGAAAGTTCTGCATTATACCCCCTTCAAGAGCAGATGGGAGATTCTAATGCTCTTGCCTTTCCAGCATTGGTATTGTCTGACTCTTGATTTTTGTCAATCTGGTAGATGTGTAATAGTGTCTCATTGTGGTCTTATTTTGCATTTCACTGATTAATAATAAATTCAAGCATCTTTTCATATGTTTATTTGCTACTTGGTTTTCTTCACAAAAGTGAAGTTCTTGTTCAAATTTTCTGATCATTTTTATTTGTTTTTAATATTCTTCGTGTTAATCCACAGGAATTATGTGTATTTTCCATATTAGTCCTTTGTGTTGAAAATATCCTAGTCCACTCTGACTTATCCTTTCACACTTGTTATACTGGGTTTGTTTGTTTTGCAAAATAGAAGCTCCAGAAGTTTTGGCTAAACAGAATTTTTGTATAGTTGAAGTTACCAGTGTTTATTTTTATGGTCTGTGTTTTCTGTGTCTTTAAATAAAAAAGTCCTTAGCTACCATAAAGGTGCAAAGACAGTATCCTATATTATCTTTTAGAGACTTCAAAAGCCTTTTAGGTCTAGAATCCAGTTGGATTTATTTACTTTTTATTTCAGGTGGTTGTAGTTTCCAAAACCGACTGTGTTTCTCCATGTGAGCTCTGTTGCAGGTCAGAACAACTGGAGTTGGCTTATGACCCTGCCCCTGTCCCATGTACTTTGTCCCCAGTCTTATGGCTGAAGCTGACACACTTACCATAGTTATTTCTGAGATGTGTTCAATACTGGAGACATACATAGATATTCCCACAGGCACAGGTTCGCCTACAATACAGGAAAACACTAGTGTGGACTCAGGAGCCAGACTGCCTGGATTTAAACCCCATTTTGATACTTATTAGATGTGTGACCTTGAATAAGTTACCTAACCTCTCTGAGCCTTAGTTTCCTCATGGGTAAAATGAGGATCACTTAAGCACTGATCTCATAGTTAATACAGGCCAACCACTTAGAACAGGGCCTAGCACCTGATATACTAAAAAGGAAGAAACTGGGGCAAAACAAAGAGAAAATAAGGTGATGAAACATTCTTCTTCCAGATGTTTTCCTGATAAAATCTCAGGAGCAATAAGCCCAAGAACAAGAGCTAAGATTTTTGGTATGCATATTTGTGTAAGTGTATATGGGTGTGTCCATGTGTGAGGAACTGTGTGTCTTTGTGTGAATGAATGTGTGAGCTGTGCACATGAGTTTATGTGAGCATGTTCACAGGTATGAGTAAATATGGGAGTATGTTCATGTGCAGGTGAATGTGGCTGTGTGTACATGAGTGTATGTGAGCATGTCTGTGTGTTAGAGAATGCATGAGCATGATTGTGTGCTTCAATATGTGGTGTGAGAGTAAATGTGAACACATATACATGTATATATGTAGGCATATTGTGTGGGATTGGATCTATGAGTGGGTTCATGTGCAAATGAATATTTTTGTGTGTCTGTGTGTGAGTGAGTGAATGTGTGACTATGTGTGAGTACATGTGAGTTTGTTAATGTGCAAAGAAATGTGTGAGCATGAGTGTACTTTGGAGCTTATCTGTGTGTGAATGTGTGTATGTGAGTACGTCCATGTATATGAGTGAATCTGTGTGCATGCATATGAGTGAATGTCTGAACATGTTTGTGTGTTTGCATACATTGCATGTGAGTAAATATGTAAGCACATGCAATTATGTAGGCATGTTGGTGTGTGGAAATGAATGTATGATTGTGTTCATGTGCAAGTGAATACATGAGCATCTTTATATTTGTGAGCTTGTCTGTACATGAGTGAATTTGTATTTTCATGTATGTGAGCATGTTTGTATGTATGAATATTTAAATATTATTTAAATGTTTTTGAGGGAGTGAATGTGTGAGCATCTTCATAAGTATGAGTGTATCCATGTGAGTGTATTCATGTGGATGTGAGTGAAGGTATGTGTGTTTGTGAGCCAGTGAATGTACAAGCACATTTCTGGGTGAATGAATGTGTAACCACTTGCATAAATGAGTGTACTGTATGGGAGTGAATATGAGGTTGTCTGTGTGAGCCTGTTCACATGTTAGTATATTTGTCAGCATGTCCATGTATGAGCAAATAAGTGGCCATGTTTGTGTGCATAAAGTTGTTGTGTTTACATGAGTGTATGTGAGTATGTTTGTGTGTTGAGTCAATGTGTCTGTGTTCACATGCATCAGCATGTTCATGTGTGAGTCTGTGTTAGTATGCTAAGTGCATGTGTGAGGAAATGTATAAATGTGTGCTTGTGTGAGCATTTTTGCATGAATGATTTAATGTGTGTTTGTGTGAGTGAATGTTTGGGGATGTAAGTGAACTTATGAATGTGTGACTGTATGTTTCTGTGTGAGTGAGCAAGTTCATTGTGTGACTATGTGAATGTGTTTATGTGTATGACCTTGTTCATATGCAAGAGATAGATGTAATACGTGATCACACTTATATACTCACATGTATAAGTGTGATGAGTGTGAGTATATAAGTGTGAGTGTTTATGTGCTTAAATGAATGTATGAGCATGTCTGTGTGAGTGTGAGTGCACACGAGTGTGTTTGTATGTGAGTGAATGTGTGGCCATGCTGATGTGCAAGTGAGTCCATGAGCATATTCATATGCAAGTGAGTCCATGAGCATATTCATGTGTGTTAGTATGTCACTGTGCAGTTATGAGTGAGTTGTGAGCATGTCGATGTGTGTGTTTATGCATGCAGATGTCTATGTATATTAATGAGCGAGCATGTTTATGTGTGAAGATGTGTGTGTGAATTAGTAAATATGTGGACATGTTTGTGTGTATATATGAGTGTGCTTGTGTGGGAGTGAATACATGAACTTGTTTGTGTGCAAGAGTGTTAATGTGGGAGTATGTGTATGTGAGTGAATGCATAAGTTCATGTGTGTGAATGTCTAAGCATGTACATGAGTAAATTTGTGTGACTGTGGATGTGAGCATGCTTGTGTGTATATGTGTGGCCATGTTCATGTGTATATGTGAATGTATGAGCATGTGCATGTGAGTGTGTCAGTGTGTATATATGTGTGAGTAAATACATGAGTGTGTTGAAGGGTATTTGTGTATGTTAATATGTGTGTGTGCGATTGAATGTGTGAGTGTGTTTCTGGATCCTGGTTTTCATTTTTTGGCCTAGGTGTGAGTCCTGCCCACTCAAATCTGAAGAGGAATGTGAAAATACGTACTAAAGTATAAGGTATTGTGGAAAAATATATTTTTATTGTTTCCTCATTGGGTCAAAGCTGCCCTCACCAAGCCCTACAGCTAAGCCATTATTCTATGTGTATTACATCACAGTGCTGTTATGGAAACACCCATGACACTTGCATTTCAGCCTGTTGGCTTCACTGCAGGTTGACTGCCCAGAAACTGAGCTGCAAAGTGGGAAATGTGTTATTCCTATCCCAGTGCTTCAAAAAGTAAAGTTCTTTTGGGAATCAGTGTATGAATGGCAGCTGAGAAGAAAATGGGCCTCTGTGTGAATCCAGTGTTCAGGGTTATTGTGAATGATCTCCAGCAAAGTGGTCTGTAGTGACAGGGGTTTCTAGAAATGAATTCCTTTATTACAGTCTTTCAGGTTCCCCACATGCCTTCAGAGGATGGAAGCTGTGTTAGGCAGGTATCAAGCCCCAGAGAGGCCAGGCAGTCATCCCTTCACCACCACACTGCACTTTCAGACTTTTTATCTTAGATCATTCAGTGCCACTCAGGCAACCCTATTCCTTACAGAGCATAGCCCTGTCCAAGGGCTCCCAGTTAAAGGGGCAAGTGGGAGCTGAAATATAGTCACCAAGCCATGTGTCCTGGCTCAGTGATGTAGCCTGGAGGAAGGGGACCTGAGACCTATTTCTAGTTTATCCACCTAGAGGGGATACCTTATGTGCTAGCAGTGGTCAAGATGAGAGTTTAGCTAAGGTATCCCACATGCTTAAAAGCATAAGAAAGGGGAATAAGAAGCTTCTAGATAGGTGTCTAAATGCTGTCTCTGGGGTGATGGCTTCAGTCCCGTATCCCATTGCTGTCCCTCCTGATGGGCTCAGGAAGGCAGGAAAAGTTGGAGGAGGTAACCACTCCCCTCCCTCTGGGAAATTGTGCTGCCCCAACTCTTATTTCTCCCTAGAATCCATCAGAATGCCAGAGGAAGACAAATAAATAAAGGAATGATGACGATGTCCCATTAATTCCTTCACTCCACACCTATGTCATGCCAGGTGCTGGACTAGACAAAGTCCTCAGGGACCTGCCTTTGGAAACACTGTGGAATCCAATTCTCTCTTCCAGAAGGAAGCAGCTTTGTTAACTTACCCTGGCTCCTCCTCTTTATCCTCCTCCTCTTCTCAAAGACATAATAAGGCTCTCATTTGAACCTGACCACAGTTAGGTGTGGCCTCTGCATTCGGTGTGTGTGTGTGTGTGTGTGTGTGTGTGTGTGTGTGTGTCCTTGAAACTCTACTTCACCTCAGACACAGAGGAATCTGACTCTATATAGTGGGAGGCTTTACAGAGAGTCTTGGATTCCCTCAACCCTGAATCCCTTGGCCCAGCTATCCCACTGATTGCTTCTACCTATAATACAACAGCCCCAGACTTAGAGCCTATAGTGTCTCCTTCTGTTTAAATGTTAGAAGGTCCTGTGTTGTCCTAGCACTTCCACCTTCATCTACTGTTTGGCCAAATCAGGGACCCATCTTTTCTCATATACTTCAGTCTGCATGCTCACAAAGCTTAGTGTAACCCAAGAGGCTAGGCATCAGGTGTAAATAAACCCAAATTAACTCAAAATATGGTTGTGAGGGGCCTTGGATATATTGTGAACCAACCACACCTGACAATCCTCAGAAGCTCATTCTTGCCCTGCTTCCTCCCCCTGGCCCTGCAAAGATGGCATCTTGAAACAGTTCCCTGTACTTAAATGGGTGTTGGTCAGCCTTTGCTGAGAAACAAGAAAATGAGGAAAAGAGAAAATGTAGTTACTCCCTTGACACTCACTGGTGCTTGGTGCAACTGATTAAAAACCAGTGTCATGCAATGGGATGATGGCTGTGCCCTAATACCTGAATTCTCATTTTGAAAGAGCTTGCCTTCTGCCCTCTCCACTCCTGCTTCCCAGTCCCAGTGCACACTCACCTTGGATCCTGAGGCTGCACCTTCCACCCCCACAGAAGGATCACACAGCAAAGGGGACACTAGTGAAGTCTCCCACCTCCAAGCTTAGCCCAGGGCGACCTCCTTGGTTTTCAAGGTGCCTTCCCAAGCAAATCACAACCCCCCACTCCCCTACCCTGCAGTAGTCTACTACAAGGGAAATTCCCCACAGTTGTAAGCCCTCTAGGGTGGAGGCATTGTGTATTCAGAAGACCTCTATATGTATGTACAAATGTGAACCATTAGCATTCATTAACACTTTAGAGTGGGAGGTCTACTTCTACCACCTTCAGGAAGTGGAATGCTTTCTCTGACTTAGCCACTCGTTTTCGCTCCTTCTCTGTTCCTTTGAGCAGAAATGTGACTAATCTCTATTTAATACATTGTTCCTATTGTTTGTCCTTGGTCTAGGTTTCCTGGGTGTCCTCTGGGCTAGAGAATGCTACTCCTGTTCTGTGGGCTGCCCGGTCCCTTAAAAACCCTATGATCCAGGCCATTCACTCTTTCCAAGGGGTAAGGTTATGTTGAGCTATAAGGAAAAACTGATGTATTGACTTCCTGGAGGTTGGAGCCTCAGTTTCTTTGTCATTTCTCATCTCTGTGCTTGAGATCTGAGTGCTGGCCTAAGGAGTTTGGATTTTATCTGCCAGTTAAATAAAGCCATCAAGCCCTAGCCGGTGTTCTCAGTGGTTAGAGCATTGGTCTGTGCTTGGAAGCATCCTGGACTGGATCCTGGTCAAGGGCAGGTATCTTGGTTGCAAGTTCTGTCCTTGCTCTGATTGGGTGTGTGCTGGAGGCGACCAATCAATGCATCTCTCTCATATTCAAATATTTTCTCTCTCTCTCTTCCTCTATCTCTCTTTCTCTCTCCCTCCATCCCTTCTACTCTACCTAAAAATCAATGGAAAAAATATCTTAGGATTAACAACAACAACAAAAAAATAAAGCCATCAAAAATTCCTGAGGTGATCAGGCTGGATTTATAAAGATCATGATGCTTGCAGTGTGTTGAATAAAATGAACTTGGTGGGAGCTAAAGGTTTAGGGAGGGCACAGAGGCAGCAGTGCCTCAGACCAGGTGGGTAGGGGAAGTAGATAAGACAGAGAAGACGATGGCCTTAGCTTTGAACTAGCTGAATAGGGCAAGTGTCCAGAATGTGTGCTCAAGTAGAAGAACTTTTTACTCCTCATAGATGGGGCAGAAAACTCTAGCTTGAGAAGCATGGCATTTGTTTTGTCTGGCATACCCACTTCTGGTATTAGCACTTTTCCAGCCACACCAGGAAGTGCTCTTCAGGCTTGCTCTGTGCCATTGTAAAGGAGTATGGAGGGAGGCAGAAGTCCTCTTGCAGAGAAGTGGGGAAAATTCCAAGGGTAGAGCAAAAAACCTGGAAGTTGGGGGCCTGGGAGTGCTCACTGCAGGTCTCTGAAGGGGAGAGGCAGAAGTGTTGAGCCAGGGGAGTGCCACTGGTGGGTCAGCTTACTGAATGGGGGTGGCTTACTGTAGTTCAGCTCTGTTCCACCTAACATGCAGGCCTCTAGTGTCTGGACATGTCTTACCTCCAAAATGTGGTCTCAGATGGGCATCATATCCTGACAGCACCCTGTCCAAAATCTTGTGAACCACAGCTTCACTTGCACAATTTTTGCTAAAACAGAGAAGTCATCAGTAAATGCCACATTGCTTCTCAGAGAACAAACACCAAAGAGCATGCCAGGTGTCAGCTTGCCAGGGCCTTCTTTTCCCTAGCACACATGCTGACATGTACAGTCATACATGTATTCGCCTCTCCCTGCCCCCCTCCCTCCCTACAGTGAGTCAGCCAGAAGTGCAGCAGTGATGCAGACTCCTCTTTCCCCTTCCCCTTCCATAGCTTTCATCCAGAGGGTGGGGCACACAGATTGGATCCTGGTTACTAGGTAGGATTGGGAGTAGGGAATGTGGAGACAAGATGGAGTGGGCAGGTAGAAGGCCTTAGATAGATGCATTACTTCAATCTCCTGAAGAACCCCACCTTACCATCAGCCTGGATACAGCTTTCTGGGTTGGTCAGGATCCTTCCAGGGACACCTAATTGCCCCAGGAAAGTAATATTCTACCCTAATTTCCCTCCTGAACTGAACCAACCAGTTTACATTCTCCAACTTAGTCACATTGCCCCTACCTCACTAGGGCTGAGCATTTTGTTGTCAAGTCTACGTGAACCTTCTTTATGTACACTTGTTTTTAACCCTTGGCATATGGCATATGACACAGAGAGAGGGCTCCTATAGCAGAGATTTATGACCCTCACCCAACCAAACCATTTCAGACTTTTGAGGCTCAGGGCTGCCCTTGAAAAGACTTGTATTCTGGGAGCAGGCATCTCTCTGGCTAAGCATGTGCTTCCAGCCTTGGGTGAGCATATGTAAATGGACCTAGCTCAGCCCTGCAGAACCGACCTTTCCAAAAATATCTGATGTGCTCACCCAATTCATCTAGGTCTTCAGTGGGTCTCTTTCCCCAAGAGGGGCTTGTAAATTAGGACAGGCCCTGAGTATCATTATGAGTCTTAGATACTTTGATGCAATGACCAGGGAATATCAGCCCCTGTAAATCTCAGTGTGTGTGTGTGTGTGTGTGTGTGTTCAGTAGTGCAGTCTGGTATACTGGGTTTGGGTTGAGGCCATTGCAGAGCTGTCTGCTGGAACCTTGCCCAATTACCCCCCCCCCTTTTTTTTT